GACGCCGTTGAGTTTGCTGGTAAAGCAACCGCCTTTTCTCCGCTTCCGCGAACTTTTCCGCCATTTCCAATCGCAGGCGGGCGTGTTCTGCAGCTAATCTTTCTCGGTTGTCTTCAGCCTTCTTCTTCGCGCGGCGAACTTCCTCTTCGCACTTGGCGGTGATCTGCGCAAGTAACCGCTCGCGTGACTGCTGAGCAGCAAGCGCTCGCTCCTCTCGTTGGAGGTTTTTGGTAGCAGCGGCAAGTGCAGCACGAAGTCTCACCTTTTCCGCATGCAACGCACGGTCTGCAAGCCGTGCCTTGCGGTTTTCCAAAATCGAGGTCCGCCGCAAATGTTGCGCAACGTGGTCGGCGGAAGACGAGCCATTGGAAGAGGCGTTAGAATGGTGCGAATGCAGGGATGAGATCGAGCTCCGACGAGATGATGTCGCAGAGGAGCGTCGAGCCAAGCTCGACTTTCGTGAGAATCGGGCAGCGATCCGAGCAGGTAAGTTCAGCGGGGGCTGCTGCTCATCTGGGAGCATGTCCATGTCTGGTTCAGTAACGGACTCTGGCGCAATGGTTGGCCCAGCATCGGGAAGCTGTATTTCAATATCCGAATTGCGACGAATCATGATCTGGGTCGCCGATGACGTTTATTGCTGCATTCAACGAGACGGAGGCAGAAGGGTCTTGGTGGAAATGGCGGGGCGTAGAAAGGATTGATAAGCGGTTTCTATTTTCGTCTATGACTCTGCACGGCAGACTTATTGTAATACCATCTCCAGTTACTCGCTAACCCCTGGGAAAGCGAACATGAGAGGAGGCGAAGTGAGTGGAGGGAACCAAGTCTTTCAAACCAAAGACTGGGACATGGCCAGGGAGCGGGAAGATCCGTGCTGCGTTTCAGATGAGAATGCCGGGGAGCAGAGAGGAGGGAAAAGAAAGGCAGAGGAAGGAGCGGAGATTAGGATATAAAACAAGTTGGACCTGTTATTTGGGAAGTCCCCAATAAAGGATGAAGGAATGGTAGACAGATTATAAGAGAAGGGTAAGAAGTAGGAACCATCTGCGATACCAGCACTCTATGCGTTCATTCTCGGTTCATGGATGGCATCATCGTCATCACTGGTGATAATAGTAACCTAGTGATCAGGATTATAACCTAGGTCACTATGCAGAGACGTCTTCAGCTGATCTCCTGGGGAAGGTTCTGATAAGCTGAAGCAAGGCTATCTAAAGCATCTATCTACCACTTAGCAGTCAGCATTATTGCAGCATCCCCAGAGAAGCATGTCGAATGCAGCCAGCTGCTTACCTAAGCACAGCTCTGGTTGCAATCAGAGCAGTGTCTTACTGTAAGAGGGCAATGATGTGAACCGGAAAGGAAAAGAAATGGACTTTGAGGAATTTGTTCGCAGTTCGGCTCCTTGTCCGGTATCTACATTTTGCTATCATCTACCGATGCATATTGATCGTGTTCGAGGTCACGTTGTATCTTCAGTACTTTCTCAAGAGATTGCTACTTCGGGTAGAATCCGGTTGCGGCCTCAAGAATATGCACGCATGTGACCATCGTTGTTAACAGCATTGAGTCAGCTCTTCATACTACATTACGTCTCCATCTCGAACAAAGCATTCGACAGTACATGAATAAACCGCATATATCTCTTCTGATCACACGTCCACCCTACTTTCTATTCAACCCGTAATCCCACTCGCATCTGTCCCTTTCCGCCTCTGTTGGCTCGGAGATAATAAGGTATAAAACGCAGATCTCTCGCGTCCTCGCTGATTGGAGCCACATTGCCGGATTCAGCTACAATCTGCCGCTTCCAACGGGTTGTATCCAAAGTTCCTCGAGAGCCACCTTGGGCGATGATGCCCACGTGATGGTCGGGAGTCGATCGTACCTCCTCCTGTAAAAGTGCATTCATATCGAAGATTATTGTCTTCACGGATCATCAGCTGCGGCTTCCCTCTATCTCTTGGCGGAGCTTGCTTCGTACCTTAAAATGATTATTCTCCCAAGGATTGTCTACATCCTCGACACAGTACACTATCGGTCCTCGGGTGACATAGGCGATAGGCTGCATCGTTAATGGATGTGGCCTTACCACTCGGGGGCGCATCGGACAGCTGATACTGAATTTCGCATGCTGCTGGATCCAGTCTGAAGATAAATAGAGATATCCATCATGAAGATCCGGCCGTGAAGGCTGCGGAGTAACCTGGTTGACAAAAATTGTTCAGATCCTCGACTTGTTCAATCTGCACAGTCGTCAAAGTAAAAAAGGATCATCCACTAACCTCCCAGGTGCTTGCCCATCCAGGGATTCGCAGCCGCAGCTCCAAGTTCACTGGCGGACCGTCAATATTCACAGAAAAAGAAACATCCCCGTTCCATGGCCACTGTGTCTTCTGAGTAATTTCGATCCTGGAGGCCGCAACCTGAAAGCACAACGTGGCCGAGGTATAAAGATGCACGTTGACAGTAGCCTTCTGTGTCTCGTTGTTGATCTCGTAGCTCCAAAGATAACCGCCCAGACAGCCCAGTGTTCGAGTGACGTTGGGCGGACAACAGGCACACTCAAACCATTCGTAGCGTCGGGACAAGTCCTTTTCTGATGAGGCGAGTTGATTTACGTAGGTGAACCCCTTTCCATCCAAGCTCATTCCTGTTAGGACTGCGTTATAGAGACACAGCTCCAAAATGTCCGCATACTGGCTGTGAAGTTCAACCTTGGGATTGGGCATTAGTTAGGTAACCAACCCATGAACAGAGCAGCCTGGACAGAGAAGGGCTACGATACCTGTAATAACCGTTCAGCCAGCATCATCACCCCAATTGCTGCGCAAGTTTCCGCATAACACCCACCCTCGTCCGTTCCATGGGGCAAGAAATAATCAATGCCAAAACCCTCCCACTGTTTCATGGCGCCAATACCACCCGTCACATAGGATTTCTTCTCAATCATGTTCGACCAGAGTCGATGCAAAGCGGGCAAGAACTTGTTCGCAACATCACTGCTTGGCTCGCAGATGCGGACAAGGTCCGCAACTGAGGTTAGGAGGTACATGGCACGAACAGCGTGTCCCTCAATTGTTTGCTGTTGGGTAATTGGGACATGGGCTTGTTGATACCTGGCAATCCTAGATTAGCGAGAGCTGCTCTGAAGCCGAGCACATGGGCCGCATAACACAAATGCCTGGCTTGCCTCCAGGGTACAACAAAGGGGAGGACTTACCAATAGCTTCTCGCGGCTGGATAGGCTTCGGGCACTTCATGCTTACGCTCGCCTCGGGCCTCAGCCTCCGCATCGTAGTAATGCCGCCGTTCTTTTCCGCCGAAGGGATTACCACGCTCCTCAAGAAAGAAACGGGCCAGACGAAGGTGCTCAGGGCTTTGCGTTACTTTATACAGCCGCAGAAGGGCTAGTTCAATTTCTGGATGACCAGGATAGCCAGCCTTCTGTCCCTCCTGGTTTCCAAAGGTAGCTGCAAGGAGCGCAACATATTTCAGAATAGGCGACAACAATTCATCGTTTTTGTAAAGGAGACGGTGGGCGAGTGCAGCTTCTACAAGGTGTCCTGCATTGTATCTTATCCAAAAGGTATTAGCTTCTGGTCTGATGCATGAGGGAGGACAAAAGCCTACAGTTCATGCATGTCTCGAAGGTTAGTAAACCTCTTCCCAGGTTCAACTACCGTGTAGTGGATATTGAGGTATCCATCTGACTGCTGAGCCTTCTGGATCATTTCCACAAGCTCCCTGATGGCCGCATCTATTTCTTCGTCTGGATAATCCATCAGAAAATAGCAAGCACCTTCGATCCATTTGGCCACATCCGAATCCCAAAACAGGTGATTGGGCACCGGCCACACTGTGCATGGATCCGAGTAGCTCGAATGCCACTTCAACTTGAATGCGTCATACCGGCCAGTGTCCTTCAGCATCTGCAACTGGTGCCGCAGTGTCTGGGATCGAACAACTTGTCGGCGCTGGGCCCAAAAGGAGTCCGGTGCGAAAGTCGTGGCTTTGAAGCTTTCTTGCGGATATTCCATATTGAACGCAGAATCGGGTATTGTTGAGCAGCGGTTACTATATCCAAGGACGGTTTTATCGTATGAGAGAGCTAGGCTTCCCTTATACTGTTGCGGCATTCAGATACGGACTGACCAGTCCCCTCCCCCTAATCCTTGCAGTGGACAAGCTTCTTCGCTAACATTCTCGGCCTTCGAATACCGACGGCACTGAATACTCCACCTCCGTTGCCGGGTTGCCTTAAGTAGATGCTGGTGACTTTTTGTGCCGAAGCTAGAGCAGTTGGAGAAGCTGGAGGGGTGCAAGTTTCCGGTGGAGATCTGTCTCCGGCGGGGACCTAATCGTACTACAGCCATTGAAGACCACAACAAAAGAGGTCATCAAGGCCGATGAACAAGACGATAGAGAATGAAGTCATCTGTTTTCATATTGAGATGTATGACTCCTGAACCGGCGATAGACTACTATTCGAAGGAAGTATTGTCTGAAGAAAATCCCCCAAAAGTTACCAGTGACTAGAAATCACTCATATTGTACTTTAATATCGCACATTTCACCAGCAGGGTGATTTGTGGATGCCTCCAAAACTCCTTTGCGCCGTGCACAGTATGCTAGTGATATGCAAAACCCCTCGGGAACAGTATCGGATATGTATGATCAAGAAAGAAGCAGACTGGACATTCCATATCGCTCTGCACCATTGTAACACTCATATGTGTAGTTCCAGTTGCAAACCTGGTAGTTCCATTAACGGGCCTCTGAACGCCCGAAAAATCCATATTGATCATTTCTCATGAAGGCAGGCGGCCCTGCCAGCTTCTGCCCTCACAGCCCCCTTTGTAAATATCGATAGTGTCCACGCTGCTAGACAGATCTAATACATGATCTGTAGCGAAAACTGTCAAATGCTGTCTTTTTCAGCCTCCGGAACGCTCAACGCATTCGAGGTCCCTGGGAACCAGCGCGATATCGCAAAATCATCGGTGTCCAAAAATATCAATGCCTTCGTCTTCATCATCGTCTTCTTCTGTGTCTCCACAATCGGCTTCGCCGCTTGCCATTGATTCGCCATCTGTTGAGTCGTCACCGTCGTCACCGTCGTCGCCGTCATCTCCTTCCTCCTCGACCTCCGAGGTCCCGTCCGCTGATTCTGTTTCTCGGTCGAGGAAGCCGTATTTGTATTTAATATTTGTTCCCCACAAACGAAGTTTACCACCGGCATGGTCATTACTATCTTTTCCGGCAAGGTCGCCGAAAAAAGGTAGAGTCGACTTCGATCTGTTGGACTCACGGTCCGGAGGCAGTCCGAAATAATTACTGATGACTGGTGAGACAGCACGACCTCGAGTCAGGCTATACGAGGAGAAACGTCCATTCTGCTCTGCAGATGACGACGCGGTAAGTCGTGGACTCGAACCTGCTCCAGAGGGAGAGCTCGTATCAACCCGCAACTGGGCCAGTGGCAATGAAATGGCAGCTTCTTCTTCCGCACCGTGCGAGGAGGATGGCATCGGAGAAGCAGACACATCCCTGTTATCTTCGCCGACCCGATCAAGAGAATCCGAGACCTCGCCATGTAGCAGGCGGATCTGGGCAGTATTGTATGATTCGCACCTGGTTATCAATTAGATTGGCGATGACAAGAGAGAGAGAGCGTGTTAGGCGCTTACATGTCACATTTCAAGCCTAACCAGTGATATCGGACAACTGATTTCGCACCACAATCATTGCAGTGAATCAGTGCGCTACTATCCTTGAATTCTGCGGGCATGGGCTGACTCTGAATTGTGCGATCAAGGTTCCGGAAAGTCGATTCCATGTTGGCAATGGTTTTGCTGCATATGGGGCATCGGTAAGAACTCTTGGAGTACTCAGCAAGGCATTTTTGGTGAATACTATGCCCACAGCGCATGAAGACAACAGTTTCGGGAGACGTAAACATATAATCTCCACAGATTGGACAGTCACATTGAGTGGAGCGCTCGATGCATCGATGGGTGTTTTCTATCGAAATAGGCAAACATACACTACACGTCTGCTTCTAGGTCAGCACTTAAGAAGAAATATAAAGCCATATTTGTCTATCCGAGGCTTTCTTACCCTGCAGTGAAAGAAATCCTTTCCGAGACCCTGACCGATACGGCAGATACCACAATCATTGCAATGGTAAATACTTTTGTTCGAATCGTTATCCCAGAGTTTGCAGATGTTGCAATAGTATTGCGCAGCATGTTCACTGCATTGCCGACAGACTGCTGCGGCAGGCTGAGCATGTCCACAGAGCATGCACAGCATGTTCTCCGTCTTCGGTCGATCGAGGTGATGATCTTCTACCTCATCGTGGCAGAAGCGGCAAGTGTACCATTTTTTGCACGCAAAGCATTGTAGTTTGACGTTCCTTTTATAATGTCGGCAACCTAAACAGGCCACCTCGACGTCCTCGGCATCCGCATCCCCAAAATCGCACACGGGCGAGTCCGATTCGGGCTTAGGAAAAAATGTGGGTTCCAGGTCTTCGGCGGTTAATTTGTATGTGTCCTCGATTTGGTGGCTGGTTGGGGTTGTTGAAGCTGGATTGGTAGGCGCATGTTCGGAGGACAGGCTGCCAGAGCGAGAAATTGGAGTCACAGATCGCTCGGATAGTTGAGGGCTAGATGACGACAGTGCCCTCGGTGAGGTCGACATTAAGTTCTTCTTTCCCTGAGAAGCATTATACCTCTCAGTCATCAATTCATGGATCATACGTGCTTTTTCCTCATTGCTGGATTGGAGGTCCCGAATAGCGTGGATCTTCTTTCTCAGAACTCCCATTCCGTCGTCCTCCGGAAGCAAGAACTGGTCATCAATGTCATCAAGATTGTCATGACGGGCAGACAAACGATGTGACTCTTGCGCACTTGGATTTGCCTCGAAGACCATATTTCGCGGGGAGACAGGCGGAGAGTCAGCTCTCGTTACTTCAGGTGCAGTGTACGTTCGAACGCCATCAACAGGTTCAGTATCACTCAGGCCATGACGGCTCTGCGATACTACAATTGCCGTTCCAGAACGAGACTGGCTTGGTGACACATCATGGCGCCGACTGCTCAGTTCAGACGGCGCGGGTGGGGAAAGTACGGAAGGAGTACCCCCAGCATCCGAGCAATCTCCGTTCAATCCTGTCGCTAAAGTCTCATGATCAACATTCCTACTTGATACCTCGGTGTGGTCATTGCCGTCGTAGGTTGCTGAAGAGCTGCTGCTTTGTGTAATCGGTAGCGAATCGGCTAGGTCGTCATCGTAAGGCGGATGAGAATCTGTCTGATTTGAGAGACGACGGGCTTGCCGAACGATGGTTTCGATCAGTGAAGAAGGAATGAGCCCACTCATGAAGGGCCCGAGACAACATCTGACGTTGGAAGCAATCGTTTGAAATTCCACTCAAAAGTTGGGGTTGAAACTGTTATTAACCTGAGCTCTAAGAAGTCGCCGGAACGGGTACAAAAGACATGTGACGCGCCGTTGCCCAGGTCGGCCGCTGATTCGTTCCCTGAGACCCAGATAAAAGGTATGACGGCGGCCTCACTTCGAAGCGTGAGGTACCTAAGTAGTAGTGGGTCCGAATCGACCTCGGGCAATAATGAACAAAGCATACGGAGTATTTACTAGAAACATTCGGGGAAATTTACTGTTATACAAGGTATCGCTACGTTTGCAAGTACCTATCTACACGCAGAATAATAGTGACAGTTCCTCTATGAGAATTGTATAGGGTTGGTAGATCTCGCATCAGTACCAAGTATACCCGAGTGATGCCCATTGAAGTGAGCCCTGGTTCTGGTCGTAAATACCAACCTCTACTTCCGCCCCTGAAATAATTCCCCTTTAGGAGAACTTTCAGATCATCGAGACGTAGAATTATCGTTGAATAGACATGTTTTGATGTCCAAGGCCGAATCAGGGTTGGCAAGACCAATTTCAACCCAGGCGGTTACGTTCAGCAAGAACCACGGTCTGAACATATTCGGAGGGAAGTCCAGCGTTTTGTCGGGAGCAACGCACTCGAAACTGGCCATATCCCATGAACAATCTCCTCGACTGTAATATCACCTGAGACACGTCCCCAAGCTTTCATTCAGTAGCATCAGTGTGCGATTGAAATGCTCATTGGCATCTTTGCGTATGGCAAATTCATTTCGATCATTGCCTAGTCCTCTTAAGCTGTATATGAAGCACAAAGTCAGCTTCTCCGGTGACCCCGCGACTGCCTGGAGGGGACTTACAGTTTCACGTCTTTCTTCACCTGCGGTTGCTCCCAATATCGGACCATCAGAAGGTTCTTCACAATTTTGTGTTCCAATCCGGCGACATCGGATGCGCGCTGAAGGAAGCGCAACGTATTGGCTACCTTCTTTGGATCGAAATCACGAGCGGGTGAAGAGCGAAAGGCTGATCGCAGTGTCCGAAGTAGAACATGCCGAGATGGAGCGGAATAATTGATCAACTTGAGGCCTTGTCGGTAGAGATGCCGATAAGCATGGATGACTGCTCTCTGTTCCATCACAGGCTGGGAACCTCAACTTCACAGCTCACTTCTTGAAGTGTACGAGGTGCTTAAGGGATTGAAAAAGGTTGCTGAAATCGAAGAGGTTGTATCTGAATGCAACCCCTTACAGCTCATTGGTACCCAATTCTCAGGGTGACCATCCCCTAGAAGCAAAGTAGATAAATCAACTCAGCCTATGGAATTTGTTCCTAGAAAGTTCACTTGCAGTATGATGGAGTTGGGCCAGGTGAGGACGCTAACTTGATTTGGCGCCTACCGCCTGTTAGGCCGCAAATGCAAGTTGACGCCTCCCACCTTTTCTATATCTTACCACTCTACCCAACTACACTACCACAACTACATATACTGGTCTCAAACTCGCTGTTTTGAGAACCGATCTTGATTCCCAAATCATCTGCTTTTTCCGCTTTTCTGGCTTGAGTATATCCAGAGACCGAAGAGGAACAAGCTTGAACTTCTTCTAACTCATCCTTTGAGCTGCGATTCGCGGTTCATGCTCACGCATTTGCGTAGACATGGTTGACTAACAAATTTGGCATCGGCATAATAACTTTTTTCTCTCCCTCTTTTTTCGTTCTTTTGCCTTCTTTCCCTCGATGATCCATCCAGTGGGGTCTTTTTCTATTTGATCGTCCATTCACCGTTTGATTAAAAAGATGCTCTTAGTATCGAAAGCTGTCCGTCTGCTGTAGTTTTTGAAAAAGAGCCGACGCTCAGTCGCAATATGGTCCGAGTATTTCGGAGACCTGCCTCGGCTTTAGCCAGGCGTCTTCCAAGTAGGACCACCAAGCGGACTCTCCGAAAGCATAAGGTGATCCTTGAATCTATCACGCAGGAGAAAAAGAAGCTTCGGAGTGTTGTATGCTCCCTTCCCTGTTTAGTACGTTGAGGAATGGGCTTGACGGCAAAGACAGATATCATTCGAAGCTAAAGCACCACCCGGCTACACTTTCATCCCCGCAGGCAACCCCCAGCTCACAGGTGCTTGTAAGGAATTATGCCGAAAAGATGGTCTGAAAGTCTATGCTGTCACGGTATGCTTGTTAGCGACCTCCCTGTATCTCCTGTCATCCCCCCAGTCTTTTGTTTCTCTCTGCTCTCGCCCCATTCTCATATTCAACGACTAGACAACTCCTCATATGCACACCCACAATCTTTCTCAACATGTGCACCGCATTGGGTATCATTTCCCAAGCGCTGTTGTCGCAACCGTGTGTATGGACCTGGGTTTACAACTCACAGCAACTGGGAATGTCATGCCTGTTCACAGCAACGCTGCTGCTGGGGAAAGCAAACATGCTAACTCTGAGGCTTCACAAATTACAATCAACACCGAGGCTAGGGACGTGCTGAGAGACCTCTTTCCAAATATACCAGACAATGATCTGAACCAGATCATCAAGACGGCGTTCCAGAAGGTATGAAGATCAAATCCGGTGCGAAAGCAGCGTGTCATCTGTTGTTTACTGAATTTGAGTCAAGGGCCAACGCAAAGTCGGCACGGCTGCTGAATTACCTCTAGCACGTCGCGCACAACTAGCTGTCGTTGCACATATAAGGCATATCTACACTGATTACGATCGTCTTCTGAAGACTACATCGTTTCACGAAGCCCGAAGCGCGGTTGAAGAGCCCACGTTAGCTAAGTTAGTGGAATGGCGAGGTGACGATGAAAACGGAAAGACAGTTCTTGAGGATGTTTTTCGCGAGGTCATTGTCATATCCGATGATGACGACAGTGATGCCGAGGAAGGAGAGGTCTCTCGTTCGGTCAATCGAGATCACAGTATCGAAATCATCTCTAGCCACCAACGACCCGAAGAACTACAGACGAGGCCGGTCAACTTCGCTCACCCAACCGTGCCGGAATCCCATTTGGACATCTCAGACGATGAGCCTCCGCCTGGTTTCCGTTTCATTCCTGAATCGCCGAAAAAGCGGCGGGTCGATCGCCGTGGCTTCAGCAGATATCATGCTTGGGACCGTGCCCTCAACCGATACAGAAAGGGGACTTACCAGCATAGGTTTTACGCAGACTCCACCGGCCATCGAGGGCCTTTGTTGACCGCACGACAGCCCCTACAGGAAAGTATCACATTTGACCCAGGAGCTACCTCTCGTCGACCCATAAGAACACTCCGCCACGTCTCTGTTGACCCGCACATTGCACCTAAAACAAAAATCCTTGACCACGGACAAAGGAGGACTCTGACACGGACGTTGATGGAGAATCGTGTAAGTTTGCAGAGAACAGATGCCGAGCGGTCCGGTCACGAGGATGTACAGAGGACACACATAAGGCCTCCACTGATATCTCATGAGCCATCCAATCCGGAAACACTTCTGCATTTACCAAATCAGAGAAGCGATACCAGTCGCTTGGCGGATCGAACTGTAGTGGAACACGTTTCAGCTGATCAACAGAGAGCGCGTTTCAACCAGCGGCTTAATTCTCCAAATACCCCTGTCTTCGTCGGTGGTCCCACGGAGATTCAAGGACGGAGCAGAGTCCCATCCGGAGCCATATCAAGGATCCCTGGTCCTCCATATCTTGGAATGCAGCCGAACCCGCAGGATCACGTACTACCATCTATTGAGACCCCGTCTTCGCCACAGCAGATAAGGCGTCCACCAAGTGCCCACCTAGATCAACTTACCAGGAGGATATCTGGAGGATTCACCATTCGTTCAGTAACACCTCGCCGCCCGGCTCCGCAGGACTCATTACCTCAGGGAGAATCGGATGTTAGGATTCCAGCGTCGAAAAGAAGACGTGTGGCCAAGCACGACCCTGCTACTTACATCGAGCGTCGCTCCGATGTTGCGCCCATTGTTCCTGTGGATACTCATGCGAAACAGCAGTATGTTTATCTGGGAAATACCTCCCCAAGATCATCTACTTCCCAGACTGGGGCTCCAATTCGTAGGAGATACATGGTACCCGTCAAATCCTCTTACCTTGCAGAGCGCTATCCAGGGGGATCCCAAGGCCCCTCTAACTATGCACAACCCGTCCCAGAAGACGTGGTTGATCAACGGCAATATCCCAACTTTAAAAGCAAATCAACGGCTTGGGAGCATCAGCCGAAGCACCAGCTGGAGCAGTACCGGGAGCTGTATCCTCTTCACAGATCTCATGGGCAGATTCACGTTTCATCGGGTCCCGGCTATGCTACTACCCCTGCAAATGAGGGCTATAATGGTGTCTCAAAGGTGCCTGACACCGCTTCAGAAGCTGGACGTGTTTATGAAGATCGTCCAATCCATCAAGAAGCTAGAGAAGCGACTTATATGCCAGTTTCGCAGGGTTTTGGGCATCATCATCGCACCTTCGATCCTTATGGGGCCTCCAGAAGAAGCATATATGCCGATGACTTCGTACGTCCTGTTGATTATAGGGATGATATACGATTGGTTAGCCAACGCCAGCACGGCCATGTGCAAACAACTGCGCGTATGGATTGTCTTCCCGGACCAACTAATGACCACCTTCGACACCACTCAAGCAGGGAATTTATTGATCTGCCATATAGTGCACTCGTCAATCCACCACTTACAGCTCCAAGTCATCGAGGCGCGGGAACCAGTCGACGCGCTGATGATCAAGCCCTTGTAGATGATTGGGGCCCTAGCTACTACAGTCGACATGAAACATACAGTTCTTCTCTTGCACTTGATCGGGATTGCAGAAGTGGCCAACCACAAATGCAACAGATAGGGTATGATCTCGACCAGAATCTTTCGCAGTGGAAATGCCTGTCTACATTTCACCAGCCTTCCCTCTTGACTTTCTCTTCGGTCCAAACACTGTGAGCTGATGTTTCTATAGATCAAGTCAGGAAGCTCGTTTTAACCTACCACAACCCAGAGAGCAACGACATTCCGCATATTTGAGGAGGTCAGGCGACCCTAGGCTTCATTATCCCGTTCCAGAAGGACGAACAGTCCTTATTGTGGATTAGACATTGGAGGGGGTGTCTAGCTGCTGCTGTATTGTTCTTTATCGCGAGGATGTCTCTTTGTCTATTCTATCATGCATGGTTCCATGCACTCAAACTGTGCGGCGTTGATGCGAATGATACCCGGTTCTGTGTCCTTTATTATTGTGTACGAGTTCATCAATTGCTAGCCCAGCGGCACCGTTGTGACAACCCAATGATGGTATGCTCTTAGTTGTGGTGAAATGTTCGCAAATTGGAGTCTATAGAGAAACCGTCCAAGTAATATATGGGCCTAGCGTTTGAAAAACGATCGGATGTAACAACTATGATCCCCAAGCATAAACAAGCCGGAGTAACGAACACGCTATGCAATCGCCATGGTATCTTGGAACCTGGTGAGAAGGGAAAGATGGACCTGATGAAGCCCAGCTGTGCCATACGATCAAGTCATTATCGGCCCTGCCGAGCATCAAAATCCCAGCTGAGGAACTTATGGCCTGTACCAACATCGACCACAGCCTTCATTTGTCCAGAGGATTGGACCGGAGACCGGCGCTGCACCGAAATCAAACATCCATGGGCTTTCCATCAGCCTCTCCAGAATTGACCGTCTTCCCTGTCTTCTTGATCGTCGCCAATACAGTCTCGTAGGAAACAGTGGGTTCTGTCGTGACAAGGGCGGTCTGCGAGTCCAGGTTCACATCAAAAGACTTGACACCTGCAAATAACATAAAAGCATGGGTCAGTTTGCCGCTGGGCAAGAGAAGGAAGGAGGTTATTTGGAATTATGGGAAGACAACGCGTGTTATTTGGGTCGCTCTTACCATCTAGCTTCTTCAAGACGCGCTCCACAGCGCCTGAGCAGCCACCACAGCTCATGGAGACATTGAATTTGTACTGATGCTCAGACATGCCGTACGAAGAACCAGGACCTGGAGGGATGGAGTTAATGGACAAATAACCGGGGGTCAAAACAAATGTGCTCTCGACAGTTGAGGGGTATTGAAAATTGATAACGGAGCTGATACGTAGCCGCTTTTAAGATAGAGGGGTAATGAGGGGGCTGGACAGCACGTGCACCCCACTGGTGATGAAACGTTCAAAAAATGGATTTGCAATTACACAAAAGTGGTAGACGAAGAATATCAGTTAATCTTGATCACACATGGAACCAGTTTGAAATGATGAGGAGATTTTATAGAAGACATTTACCCCCTCAAACAGAGACATGAAGAGTTTATTTATAAGCATCCCCACCGATCGCTCAGCGTCCATCGAGGGAATCACGCAGAAATCACTCATACTATGCGGAAGAGTCTGTAAAAAGACTCCGTTGGAAATCGGACTATTATTCAGCTGTTGGTTCTCTAAAGTAATCCGTAGAGTGGCCGCTCGCCGACTGCAATGTCGGTAAACAGATAGGGTCGATTCATCTCCGTGGGAATCACTTCTCGTCAATCTTGATCCTGAACTGGCCCTGCAAATATTCTACTTTCAGAACTTTCTAGACTCAATTTGTCCTTTAAAAGCCAGCTGCTCTTTTCTTTTTCCTCGCCTTCATGGAAGTTTTCCGACTGGCTTCTCGACCTCCAAACGTACCTCTTTCTACCTGGGTCATGGGTAGATCCTCCTCAATTGCCTGACTACTTTGTAATCTTAGCGTTCTGGACGGCTCGCCGACCTCTGGCTGGCTCCCCCATTCTCGAGCGGCAAGGGCATTGGAAGACACGGTAGGCAGCTGTGATGAATTCAATGGAGTGCCTTGCGACGCCTTTTTCCGCACGCGCCGTTTCGGTGTTGTGGCTTTAGAGGCACGCTGCAAATTCTCTTCCTCCAGCATCTGCGCCATCCTCTGCCAACTATACGCGGCCGGGTCGCTACCTACTTGCCAATGAGAAAGCAAGTTTGCCACAACTCCAGATGGTGGACGCTGGGTGTAGAAGGTTGTCATAGAAGCTAGTCCACTGTAGACAGGTTCCGTTCCCTGTGTACTCTTGGATACTTCTTGCTCTTCTGCCACAAGGTTACTATCGATAGTAGTTTTGCTGGCTGCCGGCTCCAATGCATAATCACTAGAAATCAAACCCGGTACGGATAAGCGTCGTTTATCGATTTCCAGAGAAGGAGGATTGACTGGCACCGGCGACGAGTCATCAATTGTTTCATGATTGGTGTCTTCCGTCGAACGCACAATGCCTGCTTCGTTGAGCGGCCTACGCCGTAAAATGAGCTGCGTCAGAGCAAGCTCTGCTGCCACTTTTCGAATGACCCTTTCTTTCATAATTCGCGAGCGCCCAGGGATGTCGTGCTGAAGGGTTGAAAGCCAATCATTAACTAACCGATCGTAGATGTCGACCAGTTTCACATTCGAGGATCCGGATAGGTCCAACGACTGTTGGGAAAAGACTGATAGTTGACTGTTTGTCAGGGGCTTGCGAGACATTCTCGGAGCCAGAAACTCGTTAAGAAATTCATTATAATCATGAGCATTCCGGTCGATGTCGTCTAGCAGAGGGCTTCCAGCAAGGACTTCTAGCCTGTCCAGGTATCAGTATTAAAATCACAAACATACATCCGGCGTTGACAGAACCTACATGGTCTTACTATTAGGAAGATGAGTCAAGTCTGCGGAGGCCATTCTGTCCTTCAGTTCTTTGATAGAATCCTGGAAGCCTCTGTCTTGTTCTTCGCCGCTTTCACTTGACCCCGCAATTATCTTCCCGAAGGCAATGGCGTAGATCGAGCTATAATCAGTTGTCCATTGGGGAGTGGCCAGTGGCGTTATGTGAGAAATTCCCGTATCTGCGACAGTGAACGTTCCCCTACTCACGACCGACTCATCCCAGTCGTCGACCACAAAGTCATCCCGCGAGCGAGTAGACTGCTTTCTCCGAACTCCGGGATAGCGCTTCCTTAAACGTAAGGCGTCCTTTCCCAACTGCTGGTCATCTGCCCTAAACCCATTCTCACGCGCAGGGCCAATATATATCGACTCCCGGACCGCAAGACGCGAGTCTATTGTGAACACTTTTATGATTTTGGCGGCAGCATCATATTGCTCTTTGCTCCCGGCAGAGGGTGCATGTGCGATTTCTCGGAGGACCAGAGTTGAAAATTGAGCTGCATTTGGTGAGATCTGAGTCTCTGCGCTCTCTTCAGAAACGGTAGGGATCTCTAGAACGAATGGGTCCGGCATAGATGTTAGATGCATGTATCCATCCCATGCAATTGGAACTCGATACGCCAATACCACGTGATTAAGCCGAGAGTACAAGACGAGATACAATTCTTCAAAGCATATTGTTAGAGTATCACTGTGAAAGACAAGGGTAAAGGCATACCTTCAGAAACGACGAGAGAAGACAAACGCAACGTCGTATCCTCCGAATCTCTGAAATGGCGCCAAGACAGAATGGGTAACAGAGACGGCCTTGAAGCATCATTTTGAGAGTCTGCGGTAAGAACGGATGAAACATCAAGCCAAAATATACGTGACGTTGTGAGAATGAACACTTGTGACACATTGCAAGCGCTTCTCTTGACATCTAAAACCCATTCTGATTTCCTCTTGAGCTCAAGCTCTATCGCAAAAGGTAGAGTTTCATTACCCTCTGTCCGATAAAGTATGGGACAACGTCGATCCGACACAATGAAGCTGTTGACATCGCCCACCCATTCAATTACTGCCCATCCATCGTGTCGAGGAGAGCCGTTGATTTTCTGAGAATGGCCAAGGTCAAGCCATGGTAATGAGCCGGACTTGACGCACAAAGCCGTCCAATTGCCCTTACCTCGTCTATGTCGACCTACCATTTCCCAGACGCTCCAGTTTCCTCGTTCATCGACAATGGCCAATTGTTTCTGATACCAGGGGTTAAAAGTGACGTCGGCATGCGCATAACCTCCGGTTTGGGAGTGCGAAATCTCGATCAATGGGTTCGCGTCAAGGCGCGAGGAGTGTGTATGGCTCGGGGCCACACGGTCACCATCCTGGTAGATGTGCACAGAAACTGGCTTCCTACGATACAGAGGTCTGAACACAATCGTTGAATGAGGAAAGCGAGCGGCGGCCCATGTCGGCTTCTCTTCTACCGTCCGCGCAAAACATATTTGGCGGACGGGGGCACCTCCTGCGGACCATTCGGTACACTCAGCGTCTCCGATCATCGGGATCCGGATTCGAGCTTTCATTCCTTGCTTCAGTTCAGCAGTACCTTCTTCTATCTTCCGGAATGAGATGACATTGCAACATTCTCCCCCAACAGTGATGGCGATCGGCACTACCCGATTGCCTGATTCATGATTATCGATATCCACTGCATTCCCCAAGTCGAAAAGACAGGATACCAAAGGGTCGCATAATTCACCTGCCGTTGTAATAATGTGGGAGACTGTCTCATTATCGACTAAGGGCCAACAAGCGGCTAATTCAGGGTGCACTCTAGGTAACAAGCTTTTATTCTCTATGAGTGATGACTGTGGCGCCGTCAATGGTGAAACAATGGTAGTCTTCGTAACTCCTGTATAAACGAGGAGAGGTGCTTGCTACTGAGTTAGTACATTGCAAGCCCAAGGTATTTTTCATGGCCTCTCTCGTTAGTTAAAAGATTTCACTTACACCGGGCAAGCGTTCTAGAAAATGTCCAAGCACGAGCTTCCGGCTGATAAATCGCTCTTCCCAAGTGCCCATAATGTAGAGCACTGGTAGAATATTCATCCATTAGGCGTTTCTTTACTCTTACTGATATGTCCGATAATCAACAGGGTGAGCATGTCGAACTGTCAATGGCTGAGGTTGTGTCTGCTCCAAAGAACTGAATTTTGCATTGATCTTGTGTGGAGATAGAATCAAGATGACTCGTCACCATGTCAACATAGACAACCTTTGATGGTGAAAGTGATGGCTGGCTTGCTATTCGAATGGAGAGGGAGTCGGATAAGAGTTGTTCAGTCCAGCAATTTTTGGACCGTTTTTACTAGATGTTGCCAAGCGCTGTTGCTTCGGCAGTTCCGCCACAACAACAAACAGCAGTAGCGTCCCGCGCATGACTTGATAGAGTCACTTCTCAATAAACGCGACACGGATATGGTTCTTGATTCATCAAACACATTAAGTATTTTTCTCTGGACTGGTGCGTCGACTTGAGAATATATACGGCGAATTTACACTCTCAGAAATCCTGCTCACAATGTCGTCTTCGTTCGAACCTTCACTCTCGACGAGTGGTGTGCGACCGCCACTCTCAACAGCAGATGCACCATCGATGGCAGACACGCTACCTAGCATAAATTTCGGATTTGAGGACTTGCGTAACCGCATGGCTCAGTTCACCGCTCGCTTCGATGCTTTCATTGAGCGAGGTCGCAAACAGGTGCTAGAAGAGCGAAACCAGTTCAGGATAGGGTTGGCAGAGTTACAAGGTGTGTACCAATCATCCATAAGAAGTTCAATGAAAGCATAAGTCGCTAACACCAAATCAAGAGGATCAGCGCATGCGACAAAGAGATATTGAGATTATTAATCTCAAGGCCCAGACGCACGAACAGACCCTCCAGAAAGAAGCGGCTGAGGCAGCCGAAATGTACGCTGCTATCTCTTCCGTCGCATTAGAACGCGACTCTCGTCTTGCGAAGCGTGACCGTCTGAAGCAACAAATTGAAGAAACCCAGAGTGCTATCAACCAGAAATTAGAAGCCCAGAAGGCTCATGCCCAACATCTAGACGCACAGTCGCGATTGAACGTTCCAGAATTAGAATTCTGGCAGGATTATCTATGTTTGCGAATCGAAGGTGCCGGACGAGAAGATCGGTTGAAATTCGTTTACAGTCACCTTTTGGAGAAAGATTGGGACACGGAGGCGTGGTTCGAACTAGGAACCGCCAGTCGCGATTACGAAGTCTTCCATACGCGGCCGAAAGTGGATAGAGAAGCTTTGGAGCGGGAAGTCGACCTCTTGAACGAGGACCGTGATTTTGGGGCTTTTCTGAAAAGGATGCGCAGGCTACTTGTCGAATCGCTCAAGTAGGGTTTTACCCGCTATTGGCTAAGGAAGCGTGATATGACTTCTATTCTACTTGACTATTATTGGACGATGCAGTTCGCTTGCTCAACCGCAGCGCGGGAAAGAAGAAATCCTCTCGTCTGGTCTTTCTCCGAAAGCACAATATGGGGTCTGCCCAAACAGTAATCAGCCACCAGTTGCTTCGCGATAGAAAGCTATGCTTCGGCTTGCTCCAGCAGTAGCAAATCCTTCAGACCTTCCAGTCTTTGGCAGCCATTTGGCGCTCCAAACCGCCTTCTCCGTTTCTGAATGAGTTGCGACGCACGACCTTGTATCAATTGACCAGACTTTGACTTTTCCGTCAAATGAGCTTTGCATTAGTTAGCTGTAAATTCTAAAGGGTTTAGATTAGTGATATCAACCGACCTGCTCAACAGGTACTCCCCTGTATGGCTCCAAGAGAGTGAAAGAATCCAGGCTGAGTGACCCGAGAAATTTGCAACCTGCTCTCCAGATGAAGTGTCATAAAGCACAATTACCCTTGAATCTCCAGCGGCAGCAAGAAGCTTCCCTCCAGGAGAGAATGCCACAGTCCGTACTGGCTTGACCAGACCTGCAGGTTATCAGACAATTTCACTCTTGATCTTTCAGTTTTGAGATGGAAAAAGAAATACCTGACAAGCTGAATGGCATTCGCCCAGTTTCTGTACTGAAAATGTAGACACTACCGTTCTCATGCCCACTGGCAATAAGGCGGCCATCTACAGACTGCAGAGCTCGCATGAGCATCTCCGCTGAAAAAGGGGCAGGTTGAACTTACCATGTCCAAGCAAGTGCCAAAACTACCCTTGGTTTCGTAGTCTCGAATCAACTCGCCGCTAGCATTGAGATCCCATACTGTGATGTGTCCATCCTGGGTGACACCAGCGAGGTACTGTCCGTCATCTGACAAAGCTACAGCCCAGGTACCAGCTGCACCTGCCATGTTTCCTATTGATCCATCAGTAACATATCAAAGTTGTTAAGACTTGAAGTAATGAAACGAGTCCGGTAGATCGACAAGAACTTAGATTGTGATACCTGAAGTAGCGTCGTCCTTGGACCAAGTTCCCTCGTGGCAGGCCCAGACATTGATCTCTCCACCAAAGCCTACACTGACTGCTCTGGAGCCTTTCCCATTTGTCACTATATGGTGACAGCCGACTTTGTGGGCACCATCAATGGATTGCACCAACGGGAAATCAGGATCTGTTGTAGAATGAATCTTGAGCGCAGTTGCGCCAGAAGCCGAGAGGATTTGTGTATCAGTTACAGCCAGTGAGAAGATATCAAGAGGATGGGCTGTATCCCGCATAAACTACAGTTAATAAAATTCAGACGAGGAAAGAAGTGAAAGTGTCAATCTTCTCCATACTGACCATTGTCTGCGGAACCCCACGACAGGTATTGTTTCGACTATGTATGTTCAGATGTGCTGGGACAGCCATGACAATTCTCTTTTAGGGTCTTACCATGTTTAATCTATCTGAATCATGGGGGACACTTGGATAGTCTTGTGTCTACTCTTTGATTGAAAAGAATGTTTGAATTGGTGAAGCTCGATAAATTGGGTATGGTGGCTGATACTCCGTAAGTGTTGGGTGGTCGTGGGAAAATAACCTAGGTAGAAGTAGGTATTTGCTGGTGAGATCATGGGCGCGAGCGGCCACGAGTCCCACCATCCCCGTACACTCCAGTGCAGTAAGCACCCTTTTTTACCATGTGGGGATCCAAGAGGCTGAAAGTTGAGTGCGAGGCAGTTATCGGTTTTGAAGGTTTCAATGATAACTATACACTAGCAAAGCAAGAGAAAAATTGGAAACAAAATTTGCACAAATGGCTCTCCAATCAAACCAGACGCCGAATGCCATGCAGCATACCCTATATCCCAGCTGTATAAAAGTACAGGTCTCTCGATAGCTCAAATCTATCACCCTTGATTTTCATGATTCAATTTGCACGGCTCACTGTCCTCTCAGATCACCGTTGTATTCCACTCATGCCGTCTGGGTGTGTTTCCACTGCTTCTTAATGTCTAACCAGGAAACAACTCATCAGAGTCTCGATAGACCAACGTATCCAATGGGCAAGAACATACCTTCAACGCAGTGTGGGCATAAAACATGAGCACGCTTCATTCGACCGCATCCAGAACAAGTGTTGAGGTTTTTCAGGTCTTTTAAAGCCTTGCCAGCCATCTGCCTATGACGCTTTTTCATGTGGGATGTCTTCTTTTTGGGTACAGCACGCAGGACGGAATCCCAGATGCCGGAAATGATGCCGGGAAGGCTCAATGATAGGGCTGCAGGTCTCGGCAGTCGATGGGGGAGGATTGGAGAACTCTGTAGAGACCGCGACCACCGTCCTGCAGCGGAGGATAGAGATTCCGAGGACTGAAGCACGCGAGGGAACATGTATGACGAGATGGCAGATTGAAACATTCGTAAAGTCATTTTCTTGGTATTGGTAGTGCCCGTCGGACCGAAAGACAGAATGGCGGAATTAACACGGCCTTTACGTTGCTTTTCCTGTCCAAGATCGCAAGAATTCTGGACTTGTCGGAATTCTGAAGCTTTTCCCAAGCAGACCAGTGGTTTGCTGTGTTTGGATCTGGAGATGCACTAGTCCTCATGTGGTATAGAGTCCCCCTGAGTTGTGACAACAATTAAGGGGGTTCCATAAGGTAGTCTTCTACTCCAACTAGAAACTCCAGACTGGCATTCTTGGGGTCCATTTAGAATATCGGTTGATTTCATACGGAGTTTTCTTGGTCGGCTTTTGTTCGTTCTATCTTGGCCTGTCCTCATCCAAATCTTCAGCTGTCCATTGCTCAATTCCTTGATTTGGAAGCCATAACCAACGAGAGCACAGTTCTCAAGATGGCCACCACAGCCAATTCGAATTCGACCAACCCAGCCACTGTTTTTCCTCGCAGTCATGTTGGCTTTGACAGTATTACATCTCAGATTGAGCGGAAGCTCTTGAAGCGTGGCTTTCAGTTCAATGTGATGTGTGTTGGTACGTGGGCGGCAACTGTCCAGTTGTTCCTTGAACGAACTCGCATTGACTGAGTCCTTTACTCTACCAATAGGCCAGACAGGTCTCGGAAAGTCTACTCTGATCAACACCATCTTTGCTTCTCATTTGATCGATTCTAAGGGTCGTCTGACGCCCAACGAACCCGTTCGATCGACCACAGAGATCCAGACTGTCTCCCACAGTGCGTTGGTGCTGGAGAATAAGATCTTCGACAGGAACGCCTTGCTAACGGTTGTTTGCTAGTCATCGAGGAGAATGGTGTACGCCTCAGGTTGAACATTGTCGACACTCCGGGATACGGCGATCAAGTCAACAATGATAGATGGTATAGATATAACCTACCTGCTCTTCGATGGCCAAGCTGATTGTGCCATAGTTGGGACCCCATCGTGAAATACATCAAGGATCAGCACTCAGCATACCTTCGAAAGGAGCTTACTGCTCAGCGTGACCGCTATATCCAGGATACCCGTATCCATTGCTGCTTGTTCTTCATTCAGCCGTCTGGCCATGCGTGAGTCTGGAGCATAAAAGTTATCGATGGCTCAATCTCGCTGACTCTGCAAATGTAGTCTCAAACCCATCGACATTGTCGTCTTGAAGAAGCTCTCAGATGTTGTCAATGTCGTTCCAGTAATCGCAAAGGCAGACTCGCTCACTCTCGAGGAACGCCAGGCGTTCAAGGAGCGCATCAAGGAAGAATTCGCTTTCCACAATCTGAAGATGTACCCCTATGATAATGATGAACTTGATGACGAAGAGCGTGCTGTTAATGCCCAAATCAAGGTCAGACCTTCTACTACCCGTGCCGCTTGTATTCCCTGCCCGCCTGGCTCTAACCCTCCCTTAGGACATTATTCCATTCGCCGTCGTTGGCAGTGAGAAAACTATTGTCGTTAATGGTCAACAAGTTCGCGGCCGACAAAACCGCTGGGGTGTCATCAATGTGGAAGACGAAACCCACTGCGAATTTGTTTATTTGAGAAACTTTCTCACCCGCACTCACCTCCAAGACCTGATTGAAACAACAAGCCAGATTCACTACGAGACTTTCCGTGCGAAACAGCTTCTGGCCTTGAAGGAGAGCAGCGCTGCGGGGGCACATTCTGCTGGCAGCCGGCCTATTAGCCCTTCTGCCGACCGGGAACTCAGTCGCAACTCGCAACGGATGACTATGAACGGCTATTAGGTGCTCGTAGAGAGTGTGTCTCAGGATCAGTCTAATAGCTTCGGCTGGCCATGGACCATAAACATACTGCAGTCATTTCCGGTCCACGCCCCAACAGCGATAAAGGACCCCTTCTCTTCCTCCATTGCCTTCTCATTCGCCAACTTCCACTTTACTCTAGCAGCCTTTTACAGATATCCTTTTCAGCCCTCATATTGTTCATCAGGCCTTGTTCTCTTTTTTAGTTTTGCTTTATCTTCTCCTCTCCGTTCAAGAGAGTGACTGGGTCTACCACCTTTCCTAGATTTGTCGTCTCTAGACGGAAAAGAGACTAACATTCGAATTGTTAGTATAGTCTTGATGTTCATGTAATTAATCTCTCTTATGTTCGTCGACGGCGAAAGGACCCCCTTTATCAATGGGTTTCTGTGGGCCGAAGGTTCCAAGGCAGATGATGCACTGTTCCAGTATCGCAATCGACAGTATCTACGGACGCTGAGGTATACAGCAGCGCTGGATGAAATAAAACACGCTAGGACATTCCCCATAGATCATTGACGCGCTCCAAAGTTACCACCGTCGACAATCCAATCCCGCAGCTCCTTATATGCCTTTTCCACGTCATCGTTCACGACGGTTTTATCATGAGAGCCAGGCTGCGCAGCATACTCGAGTTCGTTTTTAGCTTGGGCAAGTCGTTTCTGCAGCAAAGTTAGATTTCCAGCGGACAGTCTGGCGAGTTGGGGGAGTGAAGGTATGTGGAGGACACCCATACCGTCAAGCTCTCCTCAGTCTCGGTTGCTCTCCCACGCAGTCTTTTCTCCAGTTCTCCAATGGACGGGGGCGCTAAAAATAAGAATCGAGCATCAAGATCAGTGCGCTTGACTTGCTTCACGCCCTATTGCAATTCAGTCGTCAGCTGTTGTCTCGGTTGAACTGTAATCCATTCGATGATGGATTCCCTCTCCTTCTCTGGTCATATCAATTCACGTTGCAGGACTATTATTACCTCCATCTCAATGTCGAGAACGCAGATCTTGCCCTTCTGCGCAACATCCTTCACTGCCTGCACAGTAGTGCCGTAGTAATTGCCGCCAAACTGCGCATGCTCGATAAAGGCATTCTTGCTCACGAGATCCAGGAAATCTTCTTTAGTTGTGAAGTAATACTCGCGTCCATTTTCTTCCCCGGGACGGGGAGCTCGAGTGGTGTCTGAATATAACAGACACGGTTCAGCGCAATTCCACCAAAAGAAACGGTTCGTAGGCAGAGTCAGTGAGGGTTGGCAAGGCGTTAGACTTACGAGACACAGATAAATCGAAAGTATCGGGGTATTCAGCGAAGAGTCTCTTGAGCAAGGTCGACTTTCCAGCCCCGGAGGGACCCGATACCACCACTGGACGAAACCTTTGCGCTGCTGGGTTGGTCAGTTAACAGCGATGAGGAACACGACGATCAGGTGTTGGAACCAGAGATCGTACCAGCCCCGGTAGCCATTGTCAATATGGAGTACCAAGAAATCAAAGAGGGGCGTGTATCATTCAACTTCCCAGCTGTACGAGAACTGAATAGGCGAAGCATAGGCCAAACATGTGCAGAAAAAGCCAACAACGGCTTGTCCGCTCAATTAACAACGTCCCCCACTATGGTGGCAGAAAGAAAGCGGTGGGCAAGCTTGTTTGGTGCAAACGTCGCAAACATGCGGACGATTTCGGCATCATTACAGAGTACTACGAAGCAAGTCTAGAATGGAAAAGAAGAGAAGATAAAGGTAGTTGGCAAGCATGAGTGAATGTGGAACTCGACAAGAACCAGCTTATCATAGAGAAGATGCTAGTTTTCTATACGGTTCAAGACAGAGCCACCCTTGCAACTCTTCAGGGTTTCGGCGATTCTTGATTCCCCCTAGCCTGTGACTCCTGCTCTAAGAAATTGGACCAGAGTTCGGCCAGAGACTCTCTGCTCGGGTTCCCATGGTCCAGGAAATCTGTGGCTAAGGTAGGTGTGCTGGGTGTACGGTGCATGGATATACTCGGTATTTTGAGCTTGCCGGCGGTACTTGATGTTCCTGGGCGTGCAAGGCCTGCTTGCTCGCGCTGCTCTGTCGTCAAGTGTCAGTGTCATTCACAGTTCGCACGATGGGGTAAGCATCATGTCTTCGCATACCGTCCGTCCAACCCAGGAGAGCTGCGATAAGCTGCAGTATTTGAAACTTTTTCGGATCTGATCGATCAAGGGCGAGAAAGTGCAACAAATGATTTGTAACAATGTGCCTAGATAACTTTAGTAAATAAATCCGCAGTGCGGCAGGCCTCAAATTCTGACTAACCTATCGACATTATCCTCAGCTCTGCCTTTCTTGAGGAATCGTAAGGCTTTGGTGAGATGGTCGTTCAGTGTCACTGCCTCGTGTCTTAACTTCCCGATCAGGAGGTTCTTCTCCTTAACTTCTTTTTCAAACGGTTTTACCCTTTCAAGCTCCTTCTGAGCAGCCTGAAGAGCTTTCTCGGCCTCACAAGCTTTCGCCTCGGCGCCTTGGAGAGCCCGCCTTAGCTCCTCAAGTTGAGTGTTCGAGCTTTCCACGAGGTCACGGAGTTCTTGTTTCCGAGCTAGAAATAGTCAGCATCGGAATCAGCCAGAAGCGCTGATATACACAGAATATGCTCTACCTGATTGAATCTCTTGCAAAGCACGTTGTAAACCGTCCACGGTGGCTATCTGAGAATCACGCTCGGAAGCGACTTTCTCGTACGAGTCCTTAAGAGCAACCAGCTGCTCTTCAAGGTCGACGACCTTTTCACTTAGGCTCTCTCTTACGGATCGCTCCTCCATAGCGAGGATTTCCCAGTTATGCATGGCTTCTTTTGCTTGCTCGAACTCGGACTGCAGATATGATTCTTGTTCCAAAAGCTCCTCCTTTTCTTTTAACCAATTCTGGTGGGATAGGTTACTTCGACTTCTCAGTGTCGCAATTTCATTTGACTTCTGCTCGTTATCTTGGGTGAGTTCTGCCAGCTCCGAGGTTTTCGCGTCCAAGGTATCTCTCAAGCTAGAATTTTGTTGCTCGAGCTCCTCGATCTTGGAGTTGGCTTGCGCAAGTTCTTCCTAGGGGGTTACTTAGCTCACGCGCTAGGTCAATGTCCTTGAGATAAAAACTTCAACATACAGCATCTTCTTTGAGCCTTTCGCCCAGCTGCGCTTTGATGGTGTTCACTCTTTCCAGAAGCTTCTGAAACTGTGTCTCTGCGTGCTCCTTCTTGGTTTCGGCGTCGTCCAATTTCTGCTGAAGAGCTTCCATCTCTGCGCTGTGTTTGAGCTGTATTTTCTCCAAAGATTTGCGCATGTCTGTGACTTCGGCGCGGAGAGAGTCTCGATCTCGAACAAGAGCGTCAAACCGGTCCGATGAGGGTGACCCTGGATCTTCAATTTCTTTGCCATGTACATCATCATGGAATTTCGGATCTGCTGATCCTTTCGATTGGTTGTAATCGATTTCATTTCTTTCAAAAGCCGCAACAGGCGTAGCCTGAGCTATCGTAGGTGGCTGTGAGTCCTATTGCTTTGCGTTAGCGAAGGTTAGACCACGGCGGCTATCTCGTGGCGGCATCACGAACATCGGGTTCCTGGGTGTCAGAAAGATTATCAATTTGTTCAGTCGAAGGCCCTTCTTCTTCTCCGTCCTCGACCTTGACATGGGCTTCCTTGTTTTTTGCAATGCCCTTGTTCTTTCTGTTCTTTTTCGACTTGACGGCTGCTGCTGAGTCGTCAGCGTGATTTCTGGGCAGAAATCTTGAAGATTATTTATCAGTTCGAACCAACCAGCAACCTACCTTCGGGCATCTTGTGTAAATGTGGTTCAAGGAAGCTTCGGTGGGATGGTAATTGCTTAGAAGGCCGGCGCTATTCTGGGTACTGATCCAGGGTATACCTGTCAACACCACTAGCGCGGTTGCACCTGTTCCGAGCCAAGTCCGCATCCTCGTAGGTACGACGTCCAGGACGAGCCCACTCTAGTACTGTGGCAAGCCCTTATCGATACATGCAGGTAATGAGACATTACAATTTGCCATTTCTACGCTAGGTGTTACAAAAGGTGAACTCGCGTTTGAGGGATGGAAACAGAAAATGTGTCTTAAAGCGGCCCCGCGCAATGCATCTATGCCGGTATGCCGTCCACTCTCGACTCGGGTAGTGCGGTGCACTCAACAGCCACTATCCATAGGAGCCATGTTTCGTTAAATTGCCATAGACCGTATCGGTCCAACGTCGAGAAAGCCTGGGCGACAATCACACATATGATTCATGTGATTCCATACTCATCTTCTGCCGAGAGCTCATTTGCCTCGAGGAGCCTCAACTTCTAAGGGAAGAAGAGACTACAGTAGCTCTTGTTCAACAGAGTGGTCGGCATGAATTTTGATACTTAGCAAATTTCATTCACATAAAGTCATCCAGGAAGTCCGAGTCTCGATCCTGATTGCTGGTGGCCTGCATGTTCCCTTCACTAAACAGGTCATCGTAGGCATGCTCTTTCTGCCATTTGAGCTGTTCACGTTCCCTCTTTTCCTGTTTTTCCCTGGCACGTTGCTCGTCTCTTGCTCTTCGTTCTTCCTTTTGCTTTTTCTTCAGAGATTCCTCCTTCTCTGCGCGAAGATCCGGAAATCTTTCCTCGCGAGTCTTGTTGAGCCGATTGACAATTGCATTTTCTCGCTGTCGAACGTAGACTTTTCGGACCATTTTGGGGTTGTGGAATGAGACCTGTCCAGTCGCCATTGACCCGTCTTTCAGCAAATTTGACCATGGCGTGTAAATCACTGTGATGTTATCCTTCTTGTTTCCTGCACTGCCTATAAGCTTTACCTCCCACTCTTATATTCCGTCACATGAATAGAAGTGCTTCAGGGCTGACCTTCAATGGAATTGGCTTTGGTGAGCTGGGCACAGTCTTCTAGGAGCGGTTGTGGGATCTGGTCCCATGTTTCACCATCGCGAAGGCGCAGGTAAACGTGGGCACTCGATAGATTATCGACATGGAACTGGGTACTCCATAAGTACAAGACTTTGGACTTCGTTGTGCTTTGAGCCTTGGGAGTGGGGTGGACAACAAACCCTGGGGTGATAACCATGAGTTAACTCTTAGCACTCAGCGCAATGATGAGGATATAGGTGGTGGTTAGCGGTACCAGACATCCTTCTCTAGGCCATATTTGATGAGATCCTCATCTAATAGCAGGGACTTTTAGATCTTGGGCACGTTTCGCAGAGTCGAAGAATGGCCGTCATACTTTCAAATTTGTCTTTTCCGACATAGATAAAGGCAGCAGGTTTCACCACATTCGAGGTAAAGTAGTATACCATCTTGCCGTTTTGCCTTCTTGGCTAGCAGAACCACTATGAAAGAATCTTTCTCTTGATGCAACGTTGATAATGCGCCTGTGGATAAATTCAGTAAGAAATAGTGGGGTGGATTTGTAGGTTTGGTCATTTTCTTAGGGACTTCAAGGTGGGGAAATCTGCTACGGAGTACGTACTACCTCCGTATCTACCTACCTCTCTCATCATAGTACGTGCTATCTCATAAGGTAGTCAGGTTACCTGTCGTTCTACTTTTAGATTCACTCCCCTGTTAAGAGCCTAGCCTTCTTAGTTTATATATGAAAATTTATGGTATCAGTGATATAACTTAGCGTCGGACTTGATATAAGTACTGGTATTAGGAGGAACGCGTAAGCCTAAGCTAGTAAAATCTTTATAATAATGACGCATAGCCAGGGAGGTAGTTCTTTGATAATAATAGTAGGAGACAAGTAAGCAACTGTGTCTTAGCAGCACAACCTCAACGATACCTCTAAATATGGAACTGGGCTAAGTATCATTGAGAAGCAACTCCGATCCGAGCTCAGTGTAACAGATTGTCTTAGGATCATTTCCACCATAGAGGTACCTTAATACAATAATGTACAACAGGTACGCTGATGTACAGCTCTGCCTTCCTTGGCACCATTGGGGATACTCTGGACCTTTCCGTCATCAAACTGGCCAATAATCATTTCGATCATTTCAGGCCTCCGAACCGAGTCTATACTGCCCACTCATGTATGGTCAGTTGTGCAAATGTGCAAAAGTCCTCCATGTATGCACACATTATACCACTCCGGCTTGCGAATCCCAAATTGCCCTGGGTCCTGATCTTAATTGTCTTATAAGACCCGCAAGGCTTCATGGCTCGGTGGAAAACCATACCTGGAATCGGATATGAAGCCGCACATACTATCTACCTGAAACTGTATCCGAAGTGAGAACGCTGATCGAATAGTAATCTGTCCTCCCGATCTGATAGTAAATCAACCCGGCTAGATATATAATAATTCTGATTATTATGGAACATAGTACACTCACCTGGATAAAGACGCACTATATCGCGGATATAATTCCTCGATACTTCGTACACCGGAAGAGACAGCTTGATTCGGACAACAAGAAGTATTCCGGTACATCTGGCTGCCAGATTTCTCAGCAAGAACCAGCATGCATAGCATGGAGTGCTTCCTTCTCAAGGGGTGATTGACATGTAATCCTAGAGCTATATCATCATTTCAACCAGTCGCAATGGCAACAATGTGAAGTTCCAGCGCAAGTGAGAGACAGAGGGATGATTCATGATCTTCCCCAAGCAGGACAGGAAGGTCAGCAGAACCACCTGTCTCATGACAGTCAGTCTCGAGTGTCATTGTCACTGACTAATCGGGTGATATCGCATTCATATATACTTTTGCTTCCTTCTTCCTTCTTTGCCCTTTCAGCCCCTTTTTGTCTCGATTTCGCAGCGCGAAATTCATTCCGAAAAGAAGGTAGGTAAGCTTAGCAGTAAAATATCCTTGTTATCCTTGTCGTGTCCCTGAAGACGGCAGAGTGGAAGTTCATTACCTACATATTGCCTTTGAAATGACTATCTACACCGCCGTATGTCTTAGGATGTTGATACTTGCATGGAGAAGTAGCAGGTGCGCGCCTGCAACCATCAATTACAGAATACCCAGTGAGGGAAAGCTGAGGAATCTGGTACTCGCATTGCCCAAATTCAACCCGCTTCCTTGTCCTCCCAGGTTGGGACAATGGCGGGACCTCCGAGACACCCCTTGACTGCATGGGAGTATTTGATTCATACTACAGACCACCTAGCCACAATGGACGACCACGAGATTGAATGCAATCTCGGAAATCAGAAGTTTGAACCAAGTGCGATCATGCGAGTCATTCAATTGCTAGCTTTCCGTCGACCATCTCGGTTGATTCGCTTTATTCCACTAGTCACAACTCGAACTCACTACTAGCACTGACCACGGATCTCCACTTAGCTCATGCACCTAACACGGTGTCCAAGTGACATCCATGGTTGATGTGGCATGCGGTGGAAGAGACAGATTTTGCCAGTCATCATTAGATATCGACAAACGGTAAATGGGATGACCCTGGACATGTCCCGAAGGGGTAGCACGAAGTCCGCACCTATATAAAGTAGTATCCACATCTCAACTTCCAAGACCAAGACCATACAGGGAAATCAGGTATTTGTTTCGCGTAAGCATCAACCATATAGGGGTTATTCCCCGATACTCAAACCAGAATTTGTGTGTATCTTTTAAGGTAGGGAGTAGTCTGTTCATACACCCAGTGCCCGAGTCTCGGCTTCACGATTGTCACTTTCCGCTGCAGATAGTTTCTAGTCAGTAGGCATAGCAATAATTAACTACGGGCCTAGCAGAAGGAGCTGATTTCAGTGATGGTCGCCAGTTAGCAATTCCAAGATGCAAACCGTGAGAGGGTTCGATATATGAGTCGTCGATTGACAGAAGGAAAACCCGTTACGCCAACTCGACAAGGGATCGATTAGCGTTGAAATCAGTCTTAGGCAGTTGGGCTACGGCGATAGATCCGGAGTACAGTTAGACCAATTGACTTACATACCACTACCTGAACTTAGTTAGTCAAGTCTGTTCGTCTGTGGCCTCTCTGCTACAGATGTCTACAGCCTACAGCGGGTATGCCCGTACCAAGACTCCACCTGCCACATGGTCGTCATTATTGAATTATGAACACTTGAAAATAGAACAAACTGCTTATGAGAGCCCTATCAGCGCGCTAAAGGATCTCTAGGCTCTGTCTAGACTTCCTTCACTGTATCTTCTGCAATCGCAATCGGCTGTCGCATCAACTGATTTGTCAGATTTCGAACATACGCGTTGCATGGCTCGCGTGCGAAAGTGCGAGACTGCTTGTAGGACGTATGAACAAAGGAAAAGACAAAAGGAACGGCAGATCTTCCAAAGGCCAACAACATGTAGCCGTTCCCGAGTCTCTCGATCCCTTGTAGGAGATTCGATCCACGATTGCTCTCCCTTCTCCACCCTGGCTGCATTAATTTGACAGATTTGGAGGGGGCTCCCTCGAGTACGCATTTCGCCAGGGATTTCGATCGATATATTTAAATTTCTGAAAATAATCTCTCGCTGCTCTCTGGTGCTTTTTTCTCCTTCTCCTTTCCCCTTTTCCTTCGTTCTGTTCTTTTCTCTTCCACTCTGTTCGTTCCCTCTGTCAATTCTCTGAATTGGTAACCCAGCTACTTTCCAGCGTTTCTATTTCCTTCGAAACGCCCACACGCAAACAGCCCTATATCGCCCCAGGTGTCAAGAATCATCACTCTCAAACTGTGACAAATGGACAATTCCGCAACTCCTGGAGATCGTTCCATCGTCCGCCAAGCACTGGAGCGTGCCCGTAACTGCGAGCCAGATGCTGTTGATCGAAACACGAGCGCTATACTCGAGACCGCCATCGCGAATCTGTGGCAGAGGATACAGAATGCGCCGGATAGCTATGTGCTGAATGGTGACGAATTTGCATTATTCAACTATTTCCGTGTCAGATATCGCGGTAACCGGATTGCCCAGTTGGCAGTGGAACGGTTCTGGAACAACTACCGTGGGAACAGCGCAAGCAGTGATGGAAGTAAGACATAGCACTTGCTGTTGTACAAATGGCACCTGGTTTTCAGCGATATGTGGGGAAACCACAGTGTCTTTTTTTGCGTCCTCCGAGGCCATCGTCTTGACCAAGAGGACCACACGCTTCGGTTGCATGTCAAGCCTGCCCCTCCATAACTCTCAAAGACTCAAGAGTGAAATCTGACCATCAAAAATCAACGTTTCTGGGGGCAGCTGGCTGTGACATTTGAGCCGTAATCCGCGGGTCCAGAGTTACTGTTTGACCATGCCTAGCTGGCAACTGTACCTGGGAAACGAGAATCGGGAGCGCTGGACGAAATAACTTTCGCTGGCCGATATTGCGGGGGTATACCAGCCTTGGGAACTCCATGTCTCCTGCATGTGCCTGTGAAGAGGTCAGCAGGGATGGCCGTCCTCTATTTGTGCGATTGGACGACCTTAATCACTTTCATGCTCTTCGGTTCACGCTCAGCACCATACTTCGACTGAACCCAATCCTTCTACAAACATTCGGATTTGATTCGATGCAGCTATGCTGCGAGGTTTTTCGAGTCAAGAGCGGAATTGACCCTCGAATGATATATCTGCAAAACGATCGAAGTACAATAATTTCATTTCCTTTCCATATCAGGTCTTGAACTCGGACTACCACTGCTCAGGCTGGGTCAACCTGTTCGCCAAAATGATTCGTTGGGCTTGGGCCACGGCTACCTTCGTTTGCCTCCTAAGTTCCATGCAATATGTTGATCATGCCAGTGAACTACTAGTCATATAGACAGCAGGTGATCAATTCGCGCTCTTAGGAACAGTTATCTGCACCGACTGTGACATCATTCTCTATAATTATCATGAACTACCGAGTCAACTTATGCATGGGAATTGGTGGTTGCAGAGGGTTGGTCAAAGCTAAGGTACTGTTGGTTATAGTTCAATGGACAGACAATCAACACGAAGATACATGATTGGCCCATATTGCATTAGGAGATGCAAAAGAGCAACCCAGCTTGATCAACATGCAGGTAGATAACAAAATTAATCTACTACCATCTAGTAGACTACCACTGTAAGACCAGGCCGGACTAGATTACCACAAAACTAAAAGGGTTACCGCGAGATGCCTTCCATCTCGCGCATCCGGACCTCAACACAGGGTAGACTCCTTACAACCACAGACAAGTTGCTCACTTATTCATGTTACTTGACAATTGCACACATGGCTTGGGGAAGAATGACACGCAATTTGAAGGAATAAAAGAAAACAAAATGTCTTTCTTCCCGAATGAGTCTTCCCAGGTCGCGCCCGGAGTCGAACCAGGATTGCCAGAATCAGAATCTGGAGTGATAACCATTACCCTGCGCAACCAGAGAACGCTACGGTGTTCAAAATTATAACTATATAAAGCATAAGAGCAAGTCCATCTGCAGTCAGACAAGTGCTTCTGGAGAACGGAGTGTGCGAAACGGAGACCATGGAAGATACCGGCAATATCATGCAGGTTGTCGTAATCCCCTCTGGATTTACCCGTAAACCCTGCCATCTATCGATCTGGCCCCGATGCAGAGTGCAGATCTTTAATTTTCCAACTAATCAAACTAATTCCTAGTATATGGACGGAAAAGCTAAAGCTACCTAGCTGCATGGCATCTCGAAATAGTAACCGGGGCTCTAGAGGGAAATAGAAGCAACTGTACTCGGAACTTTTCGAGTGGCAAGACGTTTCTGCTTGTAGGTGAGAAATGTAGTTGCTCAACAGGCATCAATGTGTGGTTCTGTGTGGTTTCTCTAACAAGTCATAGTGCATAAGGATGTGACCTCTATGCGGAGTAGTCTACATTTCTTGTACCTAGTTCTAGAAGTTCCAAGTGGATATTGTAGGACTACCAACCTAGTATCTATTCGAGAGAGCCCATGATGTCTGCATGCCCCCATATAGTATAAACGATAGTGTTTAGGATGATGCCACTTTCAGGTGCAGAATGCACCGTTGAGCCGGTGAACCTATATATCAAGGCCAGGCATGATGTGACCCTATGGTCAAATCATAGTATATTTTTTGCCTCAGTTGGACGGCGCAGGATCTCACATGCACGTCCTTGATGTCTCGCTCAAAGTGTGAGTACTATAGGACACACCTCTAATGGACAGCAATGCCTCTGTGGTAGATGCCCTTTGCCGTTTGCGATTTGGGAGTATGGGTGGATATTCTGGAGAGATGTCCAATCAGTGTATAGTACCTTACAGGCCGCGTGTTAACTAGGTACCATCTCCTGTATTCAATGTTGGGGAAAGATACAGTAGTTCCTTCGACCAAAAAGTGGGACAGTATTCCATGCATATGATGCAACTTAAATTGCTTTTTACTTCTATATTAAAAAGGTGCATTTTGCACTCGCATAATTGGTTGCTTACAGTAATGGTTATCACTCCAGATTCTGGTTCGATTCCGGGCACGACCTTTAATTTGAACAACAAAGTTGTCTTTTTGCTCAACTCGCTACCATCATCGGCGACGGATGAGTATTTTAGACTTTACAGGTCTGTCAGCAACGTACTTCATGCCCGAACACCGTCCTCAGACACATCTATTCTTTGAAGCCCTGTCGCGAGCCGCAAATGCTACTCATAGTAGCTGGTTGACGAAAGTAACCTGGAAGATATACTTCCGTATTTCATTTCCAGCGCACTGGGTGCAGCAATGACACGTGGTAATCCTTGTGAAGCACAGAGAAAAATGGATCGTATCAACAAGACAAAGAGTAAAAATATCGAGGATCTATACGCACATTGAAAAAGAATGGGATATTTTCGGCATATATTACAAAATCGCGCTCTTTATATATCATTATCATGTCTATTTATTGGCCGGGGACTCAGGGCTGATCAGCGGATCAGACGACTGTGAGCTATCCTTGCTCTTATCCCCGTTGAGCATGTCTGCTGGTGGCTCTGAACTTTAATTAGCCTAGCCAACAAAGAGATATTGCACTGTTCACTCACCGGTTCTCGACGATTTCCGCTCCGCAATGTCCAATTCCTTCACCCTGCCTGCCTCGACCTCCGATCTGGACATTCCAAGAAGAGACCTGGGAAGCCCCATTGACGAAAGGAACGAAACCGAGTCCTTCCATTCGACCTCCTTTCGCTTGTCGTCCCAGTTCAGTTCATCGCCCATCAAGTCGATGATTCCGGGAAGAGCTTCAAGTGCCGCTTCAGCGTTGAGGAAAGCCAACCGGGTTCTGCGCGCAATGACATCAACTGCAGTTTGAGCATATTCGTGGCGGACGGCATAGCGAACTTCACCGTCAATGAACGGATACAACGTCGAGATACGTCGGCCCCGGAGGGGGAAGCGAGCATCTGTGGGAGCAGACAGAGCTGCAACCTGCCATGCGCGGTCGCCATAAGATTCAGTCAGATGCTTAGCCACGTCAGTCTCGAGGCCGAAGTGCTGAATGAGGTTGATAAAGAGAGTCTTGGAGTATCCATGGGCTCCAATCAAGCGGACTTGGTGGGTCTGGCAGCTACCATCAAGTACGGCACCGTCGGAGACCAAACCACTCCCACCAACACCACTGATGTCCGGAACCTGGGAAACCGCCCGGGGCTTCAGGCCGAACACCTTGATCGCCTCGTCAACGGCTTCCTCGGCCATTTGACGGTACGTGGTCCATTTGCCGCCAGCGCAAGTCAACAATCCAGATGGAGAAACGGAGATTAGATGGTTGCGAACCAAGGCTTCGGAGCTCTTGACTTTAGGGTCACGGACCAGCGGGCGGATTCCGGACCAAGCAGCAAGCACATCGCTTCGTTCGACATTGATATCTGGGGCCAAATAGCCGCGAACTTCGGAGAGAATCCAATTGATGTCCTTCTCAGAAGGTTCGGGCTGGGTCGTGATCTCCGTCGGCTGATCTGTCGTACCGGCTATGGTGTTGCCCTGCCACGGAAGAAAGAAGATGACGCGTCCATCGGAAGTAGATGGATCAATGAGACCCATTTTCGAGGGGCTGTAGTAACCCGGAAGGATGACGTGAACGCCAGCACTGGGAGCTACAATCTCTTTGACATCGGGCTCGTCCATTTTCCGGATTGAATCAGTGAATGGACCAGTGGCGTTGATAATTCCCTTAGCTCTGACTGTGAATTCCTCTGCCTCTTGACCATTCTTTCCCGGAATCAAGTCCTTCACGCGGGCCCCATTCAACTTTCCTGATTCATCTTTGGTCAAGCCAGTAACCTGCATGTGGTTGACAACTGTGCTTCCGTACAAAGCTGCAGTCATTGCTAGAGACACATTCATCCGAGAATCATTGTGCGCTCCATCTGCAGGACATTAGCATGTAGCTCGCCAAACGCAAGCATCAGATGTGGTGTGAGTTGACACATACCATAATAAACCATCGCACCGACGAGGTTGTCTCTTCTCAACATGGGGAACGCATCAATGGCTTTGCTCTTGGTGAGAAAATATGAGCTCTCTATCCCTTCGGAGCCGGCCAACCAGTCATAGGCCTTTGTACCGGCCCAGAAGTAAGGCGCTTGCCACCATTTTTGCACTGGCACCATGATAGGAAGCCAACTGGAGAGATGGGGTGCTGTATTCAAAAAGTATTTGCGCTCTCTCAATGCCTCCTTTACAAGTTTATATCTGCAGTCGAGCCAAAGCCGTTAGTGTCTAATAGAGCCAGGTTGTGGACCTCTGCTGGTCATTTAGTGGGTGCACTGAGGGCGTCCTTACTGATTATAATCCAGCTCCCACACAGCCTTCTCGAGATATCGAACCCCGCCGTGTACAAGTTTTGTACTCTTGCTGCTAGTGCCGGCGCTAAAGTCATCTCTTTCCACAACAGCTACTTTCAGACCTCGAGTTGCGGCGTCAAGCGCTATTCCCGAGCCGGTAGCGCCGCCGCCGATAACGAGAAGGTCGTATTCATCATCGTTGCCAGAAGAACTCCGTTTGAGGTCTTCAATCTGCTCTAGCCGCGATTTTATCGCAGGGAAGCTGGGAGGGACA